TACAGGAACTAGAAAGGATGTGCAACTATGGCATACAACTATCTACTGGGGCCTTGGGGAAAAAAAGGGGAAAAAAAAAAAAGAAATACACCTACTTTTCCCACATTGAGCTCCTACTGCAGCCTTTGTTATGATTGCTGTTGCTCCAGGATGTGCAACGTATCTAGTGGACAGTCAGCAATGGTTGTGAGTCCCTTGATGTACCAACAACTTTTTTAATTAGGAAAAACAAAACAAAACAAACGACCGTTAGACCTCTTCAGTTTGAATAAGGAAATTCTTGCTTTGGAGAAGTAAAAACAAACTCAAAATTTTTTATGTTTATCCTTCCAGGAACTTTTTGTTTTCTGGTTTGCAATTCTCTTAAAAAGGATTTCCTTTCAAATGTTTGCTTGTGAAATTGCAGCCTCTAACAGTTAAGTTTTCTGTCAGTTTGGTTGATTTCAGTTATCTAGAAAAAGCATGATTAAAATAAAAGCACACTGTGTTCTATACCTAGAAATTGACTGAGCAGGGCATTTAACTTATTCAATTGATGGTGGACCCTAGTTGCCACATTTTGGAACCAAAATGTCTCACAAGGATGGCTCCCTGCATTCTCCTGGCACAAAAAGCCCTGCTTTGCTAAGTTCTCACCTCCAAGAAAGACATCATTAATGCTAAAACATTACTGAGAAGCCAACCTATGTCCCTGCTTGCTTGGATATTCTGAATTTCTGCAGGCACCATCAACCTCTCGGGGACTGCCAGTTTGCATGGAAACACATCTTATGGCATAATATCTCACCGTTCTGAGGACTTTTTCAAGAATATCAGGACTTGGGAGAAACATATTTGAGAACACTTAATTACCAGATTCTCTTTTAAGTTTAATACATATCAAACATATCCTGGGCCCCCAGTTGAAAAATACTTGTTTTAATTCCCAGTCCCCTTCTACCAATATTTCTCTTTACCATTTAAAAATAGTGACATGGGTACCTCTGGATCTTTCAGGGATGAATCAGCCAGTTGGTGTTATCAATGTCACTTGCTATCTCTTCCTTTTCTTCTTCCCATCATTTGGACATTTGACTGCTTACACTGATCAAACCCATCCACCTACTTCTATTCTTATTAGAAGTTCTGGGAAACATTGTGAAAGAAAAAAAGGTAGAAGCTATAGTGATTGGTGCAAATGAAGCTTTGGGTTACCTGTGGATTTTGATCATCTCTTCCATTACTGAACCCCTCAACAGCATGGATAATTCAGTATCTGAATACATGAATAGCCACGAATGACTGATAGAAACACGCTTGCTTTTCATGACACAATTCCAGGAGCAGCTCACAACAGTTCCTGTCTCTGCTGGTGCGCTGTTGCCAAGCCCCACAGCTGTGCATCCTTCTTGGCAGCAACTGTCCCTTTCAGTGGGGTTGGGCGTGAGGCAGGGAGATCACAGACACCTGGCAGAGTTATACAACTGCACACACAAAATGGCGGAGAAAGCGCAAGACCTAAAAAGATTCTGATTTGGGCCCAAATCACTAGTCATTTCACTTTATGAACAAAAGCAAGTGCCTTATAAGCTTACATTATTTACAATGCTCAGAGTTTTCAAACATCCACCCAAAGCTGAGGACCACCACACAACAGGGAACAGTTCAATGAACTATGTACAGAATTTACAAGGAAGTTTACACAATATTCTACATTCTCTTAACATGTTTACCTTTGTATTTACTGTTTGCTTTCAAGAAACAGATATTTTTGTTTGTTTTTCTGTCCTCATCCCAGTAACTTCTGATTGGACCAACATGAACAAATACTTGCACATTCCTTTTTCCTCCCTCCTGGGATATATAATTACACTTCGTTTAGGAGAAAAAATTGTGGCACATCACCCTTTGGTAAGATACTATTCAAAATTGTCCATATAAGAAATCTTGGAGATTGTTTCTTTCTAGCATTATAAATATATCTTTTTTGTTTAACTTGACAAATTTTAATCGAGCTCTTTCTTAAATGAGTATTTATAAAGTAGTCATTGATTTTAGAAAGATGGAATTTAGTCAATATTTCTGTGTATTGTACATAATGTTTGTTTAAGGAAAGCCTATCCTTGGATCCATAAACCAAACTTTATTCTCTGCACCACATTTTCCTTTTTGCATTTTCAAGATCCTTCATTGATTGTAAAGCATAATAAAGATGGTATATGTGAAAACATATCATTTATTCAGCAGAATTGCCAACCAGTCTGCGGTCTCTATTTGGCAATGTAGACGATGGAGGCAATAATCCCGGATAATTCAAGCCAAAAATATGTCTTTACCTGGGTCTTTGCCTCACAAAGCTGGAAAGTGTAATGCACATGTCACCCCTGATATTTTAAGTCAAGGAACATGAATGGAAGGAATGAGTGCGTAGTCATCACTGTTAAATGAAAGAGAGGATTTCTGCTGGGTCTACAGAGGTTAAGTCTATAAGACAGTTTATGTCACAGTTTATGAACTGTAAACATGGGGTCCCCTGGACATAACTGTGGCATAAGAGAGTGAGTCCATGCAATTTTCAGCCTCTGCTGCCACTTCAGTAATACAGGATATTATGGCTATTTTCATGGCAAAAAGAAAACAACCCAATAATAGTTAAATAGTAACCCCTCTACAATGTAATGATCTGAATCTTTCAGGAATGGAGACCAGTTTGAGGGCACTTAAGAATATATAACAACTGTTATGTTTTATGTACATCATTTTGGGCAAGACAAGGGAGAGAGGCAGAAAAGGAAGAATTTTTTTACATGCCCTGTTCAGTCTGGAAGGAGAGTGGGTGGGGGCCAAGGAAGGGAGGATTTGGCTAGGAGGTGTCCAGAAGAAGGGAGTAGGGACAGAGGTCATTAACCAGAAATACGGTAATGTTTCCATTTTTCTGGCTGCCATTCCTTCTAAAATCAGAACAATTTAACAGTATTTGCATAATGGTGGCTGTGACCCTCTACATCCGGGAAGGCATACAGTGACACCATTTTGTGCCTGAGGGTGGATTCAGGCTTACCAATTTTACATTTTACAAAGATTAAGATATAAGAATTCAAAATATTCTTTTTGTCCTCAGAGATTCTTTACATCTAAAACTACAAGCATCAAATTCTTTAGACTTTTAAGGCAAGATAAAAATAATAATAAAAATATAAATTACCTCAATCTTTTCCAAGTAGAATAATCTAAACAGATAAATAAAGAGAAATTTTGTTAAGGAACATAGATTACAGATGCTTCCTTTCTAATTTAGCATTCACTCTTAAAAGCTTTCTAAAGAGCTTTGACATCAAAATGATTCAATCCTGTGAGGTATCAGCCAAAAGTCTCCCTTCCTGTATTTAAAATAGATGGCTACACAGTGGTTCCTGGTTGGTCACTGGGAATATTAACCTTACAATCAGTGGTATGGCCACCTTCCACACTATTTGGGCATTGTACGATAGCAAAGCATCTCACCCTGCCGAGGAATTAACCAGAGTTTCAAAGTGGATTAGTTCATCTCCAGAGGCTGCAGATTTCTGTGACCAGGAAACTGTGCTTATACAACTGAAAACCTAAAGGAAAATTTGGTCCCCATACTCTAGTAATTTCTTATGAAACCTTGAAATGATTTTTCCAGTTAAAGGCAAGTTTTTATGTTCTTACTAATGTATATTATCTATAGCAATAGACATTCATTTATTTTAGGGTTGTTTTTTCCTCTTGCTTTCTAAAAGAAAGCAAGAACTCTGTATCCTTGGGCTCATCAGTTGGAATTCAGCCTTATCTTTCCAATTAAGACTATAATTTCTAGCAGCTGATGCTACTGTAAACACAGACCCTCATCATAGCCTTAGAGAGAAAGCCAGATCATCAAATGAGGCTATCATCCCTATTATTACCTCAACCCTTATTTCACATCCAAGGATCAGGTCCCAAATCATCTCTATCACTGGTTGGTCAACTTAGGGTTTCACTCAACCTTGCAAATGAACAAATACAATTCTTAGATACTCAGGCTGAAAAAAAATAGTGATGCTTAATGACACAAAATGGGACAAATCTCAACTGTAGCTGGTTAGACATGTTTAAAATTGTGTGTTGGGCTACAGAAGGATGCCCTTTCTATGATGACCATAACCAAAACAATCCATGAGCCAAGATAAGGCAGAGCAGTAATGACGGCGATTAATGAGTGTAGACATGGATGGTCTGTACTTTAGGGGCTGATATAAATGTTTGAAGGCCCAGTCATTTTTGTCATTATTGTTGTTATCTGTGGTTTTGCTATCTTGAAGGTTTTCTTTAAAATAGAAATCTGGCCTCAGAGGAGAACGACAACAACATGGGTATGTGAGCATTTTCTGAAGTATTCGTTTCATATTTTAGAATACAGAGCTCAGAGAGCAGAGCCTTAAAGTACTAGCTGAGGACTGTGTAACTAGCTGTCACCATTAGATGCTGCTCTCTGGAAGGCTAAGAAATATATACTATTTGATGTAAGATTTGGCAGTTCGGGTAACTGCCCAGGCACCCTTTTCACAGCACATAAATCTTGCCTTCCTCATGGAAAGGGCAATATTTTTCTCACGCAAAAATTGCTCACCACCCTCTTCTTTGAAGCCCACCTCCCCAACCCACTTTCTCTCAATCTCTCTGGAGCAGGAACTAGGGAAATGTGATGACTTCACATGGCTTCATGGCACAGTGGCAAGTGATTCCAGGCTAATGAAACAAGTTCAAGGCTGTTCATTTGAAATAGTAAAAAAAATGGTCATAGCCCCCCAAATTCCTTAGTCTCAACCAGAAAAGAACAATGTTCTCAGTGGCCACCAGGTTGGATTCTAAAGTTAATTTTAAATCTGCCTGGAAGTCTGAGAAAGAAGCATTTTTCAGAATACTCAGTGTAGTGGTGAGGTGAAGATGGCAGGTTCGGTTTGTGTAACCCCGGATCAGTGCCTGCCAGCCTCCCCTTCCTCTTCCGTGAGGCTGAGACCCTTCTACAAGGGAGCTGGGGGGAACTTGAGGGTGGAGGGGAGTCTTCCTTTTTCTAGACTCCTTTTTGTTTTCCCTTCTTCCTGGAAATCTGTAACTTGTCAATGGCTTTGTTTTTTCTTCTGAGATCCTGGAAATTGTGTTGTTTGTTGGCAGCATGAGATTGTTACAGGTTACCGGGAAGCAGTGCACACAGAGAGCTAGGTCCTCTTTTCATTCTCATGTGAAAAATAAATCAGTAAAACCCCGGGCGACTAGGAGGGACCGCTAAAGATCTACCTATCTAACTTCTCTTTGTGTGTGTGTGTGTGTGTGTGTGTGTGTGTGTGTGTGTGTTTGTAAACATGGCAATTAATAAAGCTCTGAAAGAGCTGATAACCTGGACCACAGTAGACTGGAAAAAAAATAGTGTTTTTCTTTTTTTGTTTTGTTTTTTGAAGTAAACATGGTGCAGTAATAAAACTGATATGCAAGACCTAAAACCAATTGGATGGCTGAATCGCTTACCTCAAAAAACACAGCAGGATCGCTGCTGGGGACCTGTGGGGTTAAAAATCAAGAGAAGAGGAAAGGAGTCGTTTACGAACCATGAGGACAGACCTTAGTGTACATAGTAAAGCCAATAAACGACGTTAAAAAGAGAAAAGGTGATAGGGAAAAACATTCGGGACCACTTGTCTATGGAATTCACGTCAGTCAAGTCGGGGATTTTGACTTTGAGCTGCGAGGCGCGCCTGCGGATGCGCCCCTTGCTGTGCGCGCCGTGCCGGTCCAGCGCGCGCCCGTACGCCTCGCGGCTGCTCAGCGGCTTGCGGTACTGGATGCTGGCGCTGTCGTACGAGTACATGGTGGCCTTGGGGTCGCTCAGGCCCGTCAGCACTTCCGAGCCGCTCGTCTCGTTCCTGATTTCCAGGGTGCTGAGGAGAATGTTGCCGTGGGCGTCGACCTGACGGAAAAGGACAGGCTCAGGCGCAACTGCCAGGACATTCGCTTGTTTTCATTAACCTGTAACTGATGACACCGCATGGGGCTCATTCAACAGTCTCGCTAGACATCTGGCTCTACATGCCTCCAGCACTTGGAGATTATCTACCTACCTACCTACCTGTCTACCTATCTATCTATCATCTATCTATCTATCTATCTATCTATCTATCTATCTATCTATCTATCTATCTATCTATCTAATCTATCTGCCTACCTACCTGTCTGTTATCTATCTTTCTATCTATCTATCATCATCATTTTTCTAATCCACTACCTATCCATCATGTATCTAATCTACCATCTATCATCTATCTAATCCATTATCTATTATCTATCTATCTATCTATCTAGTCTACTATCTGTCTAATCTACTTTCTATCATCTATCAATCACCTATCTAATCTATCAATCCATCTAATCTTTTATCTATTTATCTAATTTTCTATCCATCTATTTATCATTTATCTCCATTCACAAAACACTAGTATCTGTGTGCATAGTGTTTTGTGTGTGTAGATTATATATATATTTACGTATTATTTTTGTTGTTAATAACTACCATTTGTTGAATCCATATATGTACATAATCCATATATATATACACATATATTTTGTAACAACGAAAAATGGCATATATGTATATGTATGGCATTTAGCTTGTTACAAAAGTGGTACATGGAAATATTTAAAATCAGAAACAAACAGGAAGCAAAAAATAAAAAGTAAAAATGCATAATCTCACTTTCAGAATCCATTATTTTTAATGTCTTGCTAGCCTTCCACTCTATTTTCTATTCATATATACTTACAAACACAGCCTCACCGAGTATATTTTGCTTTGCAATCTGCTTTTGTCAGTTAATAGTATCGCCTGGTCATTGTTCCGTGTTAGTAAATAATCCTCTGTGACATCATTTATTAACAGCTTATATGAATAAACCATAATTGACTTAATCTATTGTTAGATGTTAAGACTTGCTTTACTTTTGTGATATTATATAAACAAGCCTGCAAGGAATATCTTTTAGCTAAATTTTTGTGCGTATCCATAAGTATTTCCTTAGGCTAAATTGCCAGAAGTGGGATTCATGAATCAAAAGGATATGCCCGGCTACACTCTAACTTTTGTGTCTCCACCATTGTTCACGGCTGCTTCCTGCCACTCCAGTGATAACCCATTCCAGATTTCCTGGTTCTTCTCTATGCTATGCCCACGCACACACTTCTGGAACTACAGGAAATGTGAGCACATTTAGCCTATAATGTGGCTTTGTTTAACTTCAAGCTGGTGTGCTTTGCAAACTGATTTACCTGGAGAGGACATGGCTCATTCGTGCAAACGAGTTTGAAATTCTCCCAAGGGCAGCCCAGGCAGCTGTGTTTAAATCTAGTGTTAGTAGCACAGTGCCTGACTTACAGTAAGTGCTCTATAAATGCTTTCGAATGAGAGTGAGGTTAATCTCCATAAGCACTTGTTGAAAGCCCACGGTATAAGTAGGCAGGCAAAAGAGCCAGGGGATGAAAGAGATAGAGAAGAACATAGGAGGAGGCAAAGACAAAAAAGAGAGAAAGAACACTACAGAGGGTAGATGTGATGCTGCTACCTCGTAGAGAACTAAGATTTATTGAGTGTCCACCATGTGCCTAGCATTATGGTACATGCTTTGTTTATATTACTTGTTTAAAACTTACAACAAGCTGCCTCTAGTTTACTCCCCTAGGAAGTGCCAGACCTGAGATTACAACCCATGTCCTGTCTGATTCGAAGCTCATGTACTTTTTCTGAGAAACAACCACTTCGTAGTCCTTGGCCTTCACCACATCCCACAGTGAATTTAGTGGTGCAGTTGAGAGCTTTAAGCTTCAAGTTAGTTGGAGAGAGAAGTGGTGACTGACTGGCTTCTCTCTCTCCATTCTCATCTGTCATCATTTCCCCCAGTGAGGCATTTTGCTCCAGTCTAACTGAGCTACCCATCATGCCCTCACTGGCACATCTACTGGTGTCTTTATTCAAGGGGTTATTATTAATTTTTGTTGTTGTTGTTAACTACTATTTATTGAATCCTATTGTGTAGCTTATCTCAGTTATTTCTCATAGCAACCTTATGAAATATATAATATTATCCTAGTTCAGCAGATAGGGAAATGGACTCAGAAAGCTTAAGTAAATTGTCTAAGATTAAACAGAATAAGTGCCCAATTTGGGAATAAAACACAGGATACTCTTTGTCTCGAATATAGTTTTCCCTTTTGCATGTTAATCAACATCTTTTCATCAAGGCTTAATTTAAATCCTGCTTCCTCTATGTACCTGCGTACCTTCCCTGATCACAGTAACTTCAAGAACCTCCTCTCTTTCTTTCTCTTTCAACAAATATTGAGTGCTTACTATGTGCCAGATACAATGCTAGGTGTCAAGGGTGTGTGTGTGTGTGTGTTGTGTATAGTACGTTTATGGTTTAAAAGGTCATGCATATGAAAATTTATGTTACTAAAGAGGATGGTAGGGTTGAAGTGAGAAGGAGCAAAGTGCTGAATTCATTAGCAAACAGAAAAATACATTAGAAGATAAGATGGTGCACATGATTTTGCTAGGTACTGTGGAGTTCCAGTCAAGAGAATCATAAAACATGGATTTTGCCCCTGAATAATAATCTCCTTAGAGATACAAGAATAACACATAATATTGGGAGTGACAATAGTTTTTAACCAAATGCTAAATGCTACAGTATAGATCATGATTAGGGATTCATAAAAGTGATAAATTATTGGGGGTCATGGAAGGCTTCACGAAGGAGATGTTGCTTTTATTGGGTCTTAAAGGATGGGTAGAGGACAGAACAAAGGATTGGGAGTTGAAAACTATATTCTCATCCTTGTTTTGTTATTAACTCGGTTTCTTCATCTATAAATGAAAGGTTTTCCCTAAGTAATCTCGAGGATTTGTTTCCAATTTTTGACAGTCTTTGATTATGGAGAATATTCCAGGCAGAGGACACAGCATACTAAAAAAATACTTGTAAAACTGAATCACTTGAGCTGTACTGTATGCATCATTAAGTTACATTATTATGAAATCTCTCTAAGTAAACAAGTTGCTAGAATTTAGAATCAGCCAGTGAAGCATACAGATGCTCCTCATTAAACAGAAGTCATGGCAAACAAGTTACATTTATTAAGATATTTTAGCTAATCTTGGTGCAGGCTCAAATGCACTTATAAATTGCATGAGGTTTATTAGAGTGTGCAAATTCCCCAAAATGTTCTGTCATTGAGCTAGAAATCATAGCTTTAAGTGGTTTGACATATAAAATAATGAATCCAATTTTGCCTCTACACATGAAAGCTGATTTCATTACTGTACAGTTAAACCAACATTACTGTGTTCTTTATTAGGAAAATTTAAGAAACGTCATATAACAGTTCTTGCCCATCTGCAGCCTTTCTCCTATACAGTCTAGGACTTATCCTAAAAGCTGGTTCTACAGACTCTCTGAGAGAGAGAGAGAGAGACAGAGACAGAGACAGAGTGTGTGTGTGTGTGTGATGGCGTGCTCCTATATTTCTTCTGAGGTGTGAGATTTCATCCTTCACCCTCCAAGATTTTTGCTGCCCAGTAAGGTGGATGTGTGGTAGCCACACCACTGCTGACATCAGTCAGTTTCTGATTGGCTCTTCCCTAACCCCTGTCCCTTGGAGAAGAGTAGCTTTCCCTTCACCTCAACCATATAAGGACACCCAAGGTATCCTTATAGCCACAGCTGGCACAGCTTTCCAAAAATAATATCCATGGGGTAAGTGGCCATTGTTTTTTCACATCTTCAGAAGACGCAAGGAGCCATGCTGTGCATTGCTTTAACATCTGTGATGGTCAAACACTGTCTAGTTACTAAGGAAATATCAACATCTGAATTGGACACAATCCAGACATCAAAGATTTTAAAACCTTGAAGCAAAAGGAAGTGAGGCAAATGAAAATGTCGACACACTGGATTTCTGGTGCAGACATTGACTAACAGATTTCCTGAAGCATTGCTGATGTTGAAATAACTGTCCAGTGGGATAAACATTCCCCACTCCTCATGTTGCCATAAGAGAAGGGACTTTCCACTCCAATACCCCGGAGACAAGCTAAGGGAGGAACACTTCCAGCTTCTTTTCTTTCTCCTCTTTCACTGTTCCTCACTAACCTATCTGATGGATACATTTGGAAGAAGGAGGCAGGCATACTTGGCTCTGGGCCTTCTAGATTTCTCTCTCCCTCTGATCTGCTTCCAGAGACGGTGCAATCCAGTTAGGTATGTGCATGCTGAACCTTCTGTGCTGGTGGGTCAGGCCTGCAATTGTTTGGTGGTTCCAGTGGTTGGGGAGTGAAGTCTGTCTAATGTTTGGGGGAATGGCTGTATTCTGTTAACCGCATATTCCTCAAACCAACCAAGCAGCATCACTGATGCTTTTTTTTTTAAGTTTAGAGCATCATTGAACCTAAACTGAGAGGAAATAAATACAATTATTATTAAGGCTTCAGGAGGGCTTATAAATAAACTTTCTTTCTTCCCCTTCAGCTAGATGATCAAAATGTGAGCTTTGGATGACTAACAAAGGGGAGCAGAGAAGGTGGCTTTAGATCTGCAGCCCTAAGGGCTTACTAATACTTCATCCTCAACCCACTCCCTACTAGACAGGCATATTTTATGTGCTGCAAGAGGTAATTTTAGGTGTATCATGGATAAACTTTTAAAATGTTAATAGTTCACTCATTCACTCACTCATTCACTCAATAAATGTTGACTGAGTGCCTACAATGCATCAGGCACTGTTCCAGACACTCATGAAGAAATCAGCCCCTCTATATGCTGTAGGGCATCATGTTCCCCATCATAGAAATTTAAAGATCTCAGCTAACAAATCTTGTACTCTCTTGTGACTCCCTCTAACTCCTATTGGTTCTAAATGTTT